CCGCCTAGGGACTCCTCGCCCAAGCCTTGGCAATGCACCTAAGCCCCCCTAGGCCACCTAGGTGTTAGGTGGGTGCGATTTTTGCAACACTGCCTGGCCTGTGTGTGTGTGTGTGTGTGTGTGTGTGTATGAAGCCATCACTGTTGGCACAATTCTACTCCAAGTGGAAGGCCACCACCACGCCAGCATCCAAAGGGCAATGGAAGAGTAGATGTTTGACTGTATCATCATGGAAGTTTCAACCTATGACTTCGAAATTTTTTTAATGTGAGAATTTTATTTGTGTTCACCAGCCAGCCACTTGCCTCAAATCTGAGAGGAAGAAGGGCATCCCATACAAATCTGGCCACAGAGACTCCATGGCCTGAAGGACCAGTGTTTCATGACACCGACACAGGTGTCACTATTTAGTACGTATCCAAGTGTCTAGTATGTGGGCAAAAACTCAGTATTTCCTTAATATATCCTTACAAGTGTGTAAGATAATATAAATATATAATATAATGTATATATTGAATATATTGATATTCTATCCCATAAAGTTACATCGGTTGTAGCCTAAACCTGTTGTTTCATGCGCAAATGATTTGAGGTTCAAATCCTATTGTGACTAACTTTTTATATTATAAAACCTCTATCCCACGAGGCCTACAAGATTTGAAGCATACAATATTTGACTCTTGAAAAACGCCTACATGGGCTACAAGATTTAAATCATTGAAAACCTTCATGTGGCTTAAAAGGCTTGAATCCCTTAAAAACGAGGCCCCAAGAGATAAAAGACAAAGCAACAAGTAGAGATCGAACCTTAGAAGAGCAAGCAACATGCCATTCTATGAGGTAAACCATCAATGCTTTATGATATGAAACAATAAGTTATTATATAAAACACATTACAAAAAAAAGCATCAATGTTGTATTAAAATCTAATGATGTCATCATTACAAAGGGAGAAGGTCAACACCTGTCGGCACACGACACCAAAGAAACTTACAAGTGTCGAGGTAACACTGAATTGAAGGTGGAAGCAGTTTCGCTTTGATGGGCGAAATAAGCGTGTATCTAAAGTGGACTTAGCATGAATCTGGTTAATCATCAAAGACCAGAGTATAGTTCAGTAGAATCTTTTACATTTACAAAGTAAAGGGTAAGGGTAAGTAAAGTGAGTACTATGATTAAGAATGTGGATATGATCAAAGCATTGATGAAAAGATAGATTAGAGTCTACATCCTATAATCTCTAGGTTTCATGGGAAAATAAGAAAGGTGAGGCATTCCAAGACTAATGATGATGTAATCATCGATGCGGATATTGTTATTCGTGATCCAACAAAACACTAAATATCTAAGGAAATGCCCTTAGGAGAGTGTGCCAATTTTGTTTAAGTCCTAAGGTATTTTAATATATATTAAGAGCTTGAGTCCTAAGGTATTTTAATATATATTAAGAGCTTGAACCATTTTTCAAAAAGCAAAGTGAACTCTTAATTTGGACCAGCCTACCAAGATGTCGCTCATTGGATAAAGTAAAATAAATTGACTCTTAAAGAAGGTGGTACATTATCATCATCATCATCATAGGCATATCCTAACTAAAAGAAGGTGGTACATGTGTCGCTTTTGGCCCTCTACAATGGATAGGAAGGAGAGTAAAGGAGGTCTTTCTGCCTAGTTTAGGGGGTAATCTGAGTATCTGAAACTACGATAGTGAAGGTCAGATCTCGATAAGGCCTTCGCATCAAGTATTATTTAGTGTTAACCCGCCACTTGAGATTTTCTTTGGTGTCACATGTTGACACTTCTGCACAAATTGATACTCACCAATACCCCTTTTGACACTTGCCCATATGTATTGATGATGTCATTAGATTTCAGAACCGTGTTGTTGCTTTTCTCTAACGTGTATTAGATAATAATTCACTACATATCATCAAAGCATTAATGGTCGATTGCTCTTCTATCTAAGGTGTGATTCCTACTATTAGATTCATGTTTTTTTCTGGCCATGTGGGGGTTTTCAAGGATTCAAATCATGTAGGCCATGTTTCTCTCAAACAAAATGATATAAGCTATGTGGGGCAGAAGTTTTATATAATATAAAAAACTATTCACAATAGGAATTGAACCTTAAAGCTTTTGGGTATAAAGCACCAGTGCCACCGTACTACCAACATAGCTTTGTGGGACTATAATGGGATACTATATTAATATACTATATCATATATTTATATTATCTTATTCACTTGTACAGACATGTCATGAAGTATTGGGTTTTCCGCTCTACATACTAGACACTTGGATACGTATTAAATACCAACATTAGTGTTAGTGTCCATGTAACACTACCCGTTAACCCTTTTCTTTATATTTACCACCCCTCTCTCTATATATATATATATACACACACACCAATCTCTCCTCCATTGGTGCAAAGAAAACCGAACTCTCCCTCTCCCTTCATTTCGTCTTCATGCACAGAAGCTCCACTTTTCCCGTCTCATTCTCTCCAGCATATTTTGGATCCATTTTTCACTCTCTTTTTTGCCCTTTTCTGCAGAGAGGACCCACCATTTTCCCCTCATATTTTTTTTTTTTTGGTCCCTTTCATGGTCTGCTGTTATTGATTCTCGTTTCCACAGTCGACAATTTTGTGCAAGGAGAGAGAAAGATGGTCAAGGAAGATTGCAGGGTCTCAAATGGTTATGTTAAGCATATGCAAGTTTCTATGCATTATAAAAGTAGGCTTTTTCCACTATCATGTTGCGAAATGTTTCATGCCCCTTTTTTTCTTTCGTAGAAGATGTCCTGGTATCAGAAATGTTAAGTGGCTTAATGAAATCTTGGGTATTTATAAGAGTATTGCAACATTTATATCTATTTGGATAACCGTTGTATCTTCTAGTTCTTTTATAACATCACAGATTCCAGATTCAGAGTTATAGAAGAAGCTATCGAGAATGAAAAAGTTGGGGGATATAAGTATGTTAGTTAGACTTCATGATCAAGTTTATTCTAGCAACGCACTTTGGGCTGAAGTTATGAATTGTAAATATATTAAAGGGGCACTTCCTCTTTCACTGGTTTGTAAACCTTGCCATTTGTGTATTGGATGCAGCTTATTAATGTGTGTTTTCATTCATTCAAAGTGATCTATGGACTGGAATTTTTTAGTAGCTCACTTTCTGGTCGAGACATCACCATTCTAGAGCCACGAAAGAAGGCTAGAGGTATTTTACCTGTAGACTTTTTCCAGGCTGGTTAAAATCAATATCCATTAAACTTTTATTTTTCTCATGGTTTGGTCTGAATGGTCTTATCAGTGTCAATCTGAATTAGCTTATGCAAATGAATGTCCATCAATGGGCCATACAGTTAATTTATAATGCCCATCTTCGGGTTTTGGTTGCATATGTCCTCATAGTATACGATACAACACTGGAGCTGGGTGGTCGATCCATCATAGTGCAAAGTGATTTGCAAGTTGTTGTACAAATGACAAAGCTGACTTACTCAAGGGAAACTCCTCTATAGGACAGAAGTCCAGCCGATTCAAAAGTGCATTGGGAAATCAGAAGTCTTAATCTCATTGTTGTGTCACTTTTGGCTCAATAGGGGCCCAAATGTCAGATTCTCATATTTTGGAGACTCTTCATAGGGGTGCTTATTTTAGGGACCATTGTTTTAAAAAGCGGACCGCCCAGTGCCTAGGTGGTCCAGAGAGCTGGACCGCCTCTCCCAGACCTAAGTGGCCGCCTAGAAACCCTAGAACCCGCCTAAGCCGGTGCCCAGGACTTGTGTCCCGCTCAGGGGTGGAAATATTCCTAGTTGAGGAGCATTTTTCGGTATTTTTTAATAAACAAGGGGAAATTTGTGGGTTTTAAATTCATTTGAAACCTAAAGCCCATTAGATCGATCTAAATGTCACTCATTGATATTAGACTCTTGTCTTATGTGTACCCTAAGTCCCTATCTCTTGTCTTATGTGTTATACAGTTATATTGTTAGACTGTTGACATTTTTTTTTATACTAGGCCGTCCAAGTTTTGAGCGTCCACCTAGGTGCTGGGCGGCCTGGACCCCTCCGGCCGCCTAGGCGTTAGCTAGCGTTTTTTGAAACATTGTTTGGGACGTGCCCCAAATAGGTGTGATACCATTTTTTTTGTCCTATAATTCGTATTTCCTACTAAAAGAGAAAGAAACTAAAATTGGAAGAAAAGATGTTAGACTGCAGAAAAAGTGGGACCAGCGAAAGATTTTTTTAAATAATAGATAAGTGTGGGACTCTCTTTTTTTGTCTCATTTGCCGGAGAAATGCGAATTAGTGAAACCTTGTTGATGGAATTCGGACTTCTTTTTAATGGACAGCAGATAAGTAAGAAAATAGTTGTGACCTACATTTTTTATACCTTAATACAGTAGGTGGTTTGCACTCTCAAACCCTTGCAAACTTAGTGAAAAAAAGAATCGAGTATGTACTTCTGAGCGATGTAGTGATTAGACCGGTATATTGGGAGCCTTTGAGAGCCTTCTACATTTCAGTCTTGTATAATCCTTTTATACAATCTTCCCACATTGATACAATGATTGGGCACTCGCTTTAACCTCCACTTACTTTGCCAAAAAATAACAATAATATCTAATGGCTGGGTGGCATGTCAAGTAGGATTTGAAGTGGAAAAATGCTTTGGACCTTGTTCATGGTGACTTATTTGTAGTTTAGACAATGAAATATGAAAAGTATATGGAATGTTTCTCTTGTGTCTTAGGTAGAAATGACATTTCAAAGACTAGAATAACTCCTCAATTAGCTGTCTAGTATTGATCGATTTTCCAATTTGCCAAATTATTCTGCAGTCGAATTTGGGATTTTCTTTCAATTTACCTGATATACATGGTTTCAGAATTTGTTGTTAACGTGGTCTTTGTTACTCTGTTTTGACGATTACTGCCTTCTAGCAATTTACAAATAATGTGATGGTTTGGCATTTTACTTTGTGCAGTTGAGAAGGGGAAATTGACGAGCTTGTTGAGGATAAAGGTGTCAAAATTTTAATTGATCCGAAAGCACTCATGCATGTCATAGGGACACAAATGGAATTCGTAGATGATACATTAAAGTAAATCTACTGCCCTCTCTCACTCTTGACGTATTGTCTTTTTTTCTTGCGCACCTGCACCCAGCCCCACACACGTGCACACACAGACATAATTTTATATCTTATACATTTTGCCTTGCCACTTATTTCTTGCAAGTGCATTGCTTATCTTTCTCGGCCGTAGGAATCTCTCTCCTCTGCATTTTTTCATGCAAATAAACCCATCATCTCTCTCTACCTTAGATATGCCCCCTGGCCCCCCAACACCCCATTCTCTATCTGATTCTTGTCATATTACGATGAAATATGCAATCTCTCTATCTGAAAGAGAAATCCTCCACTGTATTTCTAAATTGATAGCACCCTCTCTCTCTCTTTCTCTCTCTCTCCCTCCCTCGCACATGGCGTCCTCGACACAAACCTACTCTCTCTCTCTCTTTACATAATTGATTTGCTTTGCAGGTCTGAGTTTATTTTCATTAATCCCAACTCAAAAGGACAATGTGGTAATTGATTTGCTTTGCAGGTCTGAGTTTATTTCATTAATCCCAACTCAAAAGGGCAATGTGGCTGTGGAGAATCCTTCACGCCTACGAGTAGTGGTGCAAAATAACAATTATTTTTAGCCATTGGATGTGAAATCCAATGGATTAAAGAGTGCCACAACATTTGAGAAAATTTTATTTTAGATATTGTGCTCAATTAATGCCATATCTTCAACCGTCCGATTTCACACCCAACAATCAACAATGATTGTGATCTCCTTGTATGAAATGATTACATCACTTAAATTGACCGTCCACACGAATCTAAGCTGTCCATTGAGATGAACTATAAAATGATTCATTAGCTCTGACGGAAACTAGAGGGAAAATTGAATTTGCCCATAATTCTCGGCCAAAGTTCCAATTATGATGTAGTCATTTATGAACAAACTAGAATATGTATCTTTGAAAGTTGAATAAAAATAAAAACAAATTTTCCCGCCATCAAATTTTTGCTTAGGAGCATAGGCATTCACTCCCGTACCTTGGAAACCCCTTTTTTTTTTTACTCGAGTAGTCATTGTGATCGAAGTCAGTTAAAGACTTTCAATAGCTTATTTAAAAGCCACATTGGTTTTTTTTACCTTTTATTTTTCATCAGTAAGCTTGAATTCTGGCATGCATTGTAGGACTCAAAACTCGGATCCCTGAACTCCCATACTATTTGTGTTTCAGGATGTTACCCTTTAGAAAGTAGATGCCTTGTTCTTTCGTATCTTGGTCCTTTTCTTTATTTTATTCTTTTTTCTTATTTAAGTACCAATTAACATAGATTCGTAATTCATGATAAGATGTGGCAACGTGTTATGCTAACTGCTTACTTAATGGCACCCACCTTCTATAACCGAGCTTGAGACGGATTAGGGGAAAATTTAAGGTCCTTACCCCTCTTATCCTCGATATATATGCTCTCCTTTATTTTTTTTGTGATCAAAGTGCTCTCCATACTCGAACTTCCATCTTTTTAGCATAGTTGAGTTATTTCATTGCATTTGAGGAATTTATGTACTCGACAAGGTAAAGTGTGTTCCTAAGTTCCTTATAAATATGTGCGAGGGTGTAATTTCATTCGTTCATGGTTTTTGGCATGAGTTTAGCACTTCATATGGAACATTTCCATTGAATGTGGTGGTTTGTCATAATGTTTCTTCCCACGTTGGAATCAGGTGCTCATCTGTGATGTCTGCTTCTCTTTAGCATAATAGACTAGCTAATGCATATTTTGGTCATTTTATGTTATTATTTACAATTCATCGAAACAACATTTACCATCCGAAGAGCGAACAACTTATGTATTCCACTTGTCCATTCTAAATAGATGACTAAGATAACTTTAATCAAAATGTCAGTAAGCCTCTATCATTTGATTTTGATTGGAGGTCTCAAAATTTTTAATTTTTTTTCTACATATCATTTTGAGATGTAATTTGGCGTTTCCCAATTCTCACAAGGTGCACCTAAAAAAGCAAAAAAAAAATTTATTTAATAATAAATTATGATCAAAATGTTCCTATAACTTATTGGCATATTTTGGTCATTTTATTCTATCATTTTTTTTTTTGATGTGTACGTTTCCAAAGTGTAGACACTCCAAATTTTGTGTTAAGATGATTTGTAAAAATTAAAAAAATAAAGGGCGAGGTTTGTGTATGCTCTCAACTTAAAATAATCAAAGTAATGTGGACTTCTAAACGAGGGAGTAGAGGCAAACTATGCTCAAGGAAGTATAGTATACATCCTCTTAGTCTCGTACTCAAAAACATAATCATACAGCTATTTTTTAGCTAATTAACTAGAGAGTTCAAAAACGATGAACCACAGTAATCAAGACTTATTTGCTTTCATCAATTTGACCATCCGTAACTACACACCAATAAGTGAATTACTGGTAGTTGGAATTTTAACTGAGACAGAAGAAGTCCAATGGACGTATAACTTACAAATAAAGGGATTTTTCCTTGCATTTTGCTGATGAATACACCCAATCAAAGTTTCACTTTATTCTTCATGGCAATCAACAAAATCCAAATTGAAGATGACCATATATTCTGTCATGCTTCAATTAGTTTGAACCAAACTAATGGCACTGTAACAAAGTAATGCAGCTGCCCCAGGTTGCAAACCTTTGTCCTGACATAAAAGGCTATGAGCCATAAAGCTTATAAACCATCACTCCGTGAAAATTTACATCAATGCAAAATAAGTAGATTTATAAATACTATAACAAAGAAAAGTGCATACTTTATGAGCAGCTTGCCTTATACGCTTCCCACCCCGCAAGACGATACTGCCTGGCTGCCTCTGCTGGATCTGTCGCTTTAATGATGCCACGACCGACAATGATAATGTCACTTCCTCTATCATGAATGACCTGAGAAAAGGAAAGCACTAACTGACAAGCCCCAAAAAACAACTACATTAAAACTTGGATCTTTAGGATGATTGCATTCCTGATTCATATAAAATACAAAGGGCACAAATGTTGAATCCTTTATATCGGGATCAAAGAGTTCGTTATTCCCCCACATGAGAGTAAAATCAACTTATTTACGTGTTATGTCTCTGCAGCTTTCAAATTGAATAAAACTTATCCATTAGTGATGCAGTTTTTCACAATATAAACTTGATGGCAGTTATCAGCCATGGCCAAAGAAAAGCATCTCCCAAAGGTTTTTGAAACAAAATCGAGCCAATTTGAAATTGCTTTGCTCAAAGCATTTTGCAGAAGCCAATCCATTAGCTAAATTTGCATCTTCATTTTTCCCTGAATTCAACTATACCAGTCATATTCCTCAGCACGAATGTCCTGTAGTTAAGGCAGCCCTTTGATCATTCTTGCTGCCAAGAGGTGTAATTAGGAAATCATGTCACTGCACTTGACATGTAAATAATTTTTTAGTTGCTTAAGGGGGTCTTAATTCTAAATTTGATTGAGAATAGTAGTTTGGAACTTCTATCAATCTTTAGGTAACTTTTCTCCAAGTGACTAAACCCATTTCTCATTTAAAATATTTTGGATTGTGTCCAAAGCCTAAAGCCTAGATAGACTGGCATGGTTTTGAAGTGATGGAAACATGGAATATTCAATCGAAGCCCAACAAAATTGTGGTGCGGTATACAGGATTGCTGACACATGAAAAGCCTTCAAGTGTTAGCCTCAGGGCTTTAAGAAGAGAACGTTGAAAGGGGGGGGGGCGGGTTGGCGGGTTTGACCACTTAAAAGAGCTGCATGGTGCCATGGAGTTGGGTGTCTAGAATATGACTTCCTAGTCCATAGTCCATTTAGACTCCATGGGCAGTGTTACAACAGCCATAAATGACAAATCATCCTACCTTACAATGACCAATGAAAAAGACGGATTCAGGTGCCTAGGCAGTTTGGGTGCCTGGCCACCTAGGTGGGCGCCTAGAGACAGGGTCCCCTCACCAAAATCAAACCTTCCCTCCCCCCGCCCCCAACCCCAAATATCGTCCAAGCAAAAAAAGCATTCAATTAATCACCAAAAAAATATATCGTAAAAGGAAAAAAAAAAAAAAACACATGATTCATAAAATAATATGTTGTAGCAAAATAATAAAATATGATAATATTTTAAAAATATCAAAATCAAATCGATGTTGGTGCAAACCTTGTCTAGTGGGTCGCCAAAAATTCTCAAAATCAACTACTAGAAGCTTCAAATCCACCCACGAACTATTTCTTTCATTTTGGGAAGAAATCGAAAAAATAAAAAATTTATCGATCTTTCGATAAATTACTAAAAAGTGGTTTTTGGGGGGTTCCCCACCCCAAAACATCGTCCAAGTGAGAAAAGAATTCAATTAATCACCAAAAAAATCAATCTTTTAACCACAAACATGTAAATATATCGTAAAAGAAAAAAAAAAGTAAAAGAAAAAATACATGATTCATAACAAAATATGTTGTAGCAAAATAAAATCAAAAGCTTCTTTCAAATATGATAATATTTTAAAAATATCAAAATCAAATTGATGTCGGTGCAAAACTCGTCTAGTGGGGTCGCCAAAAGTTCTCAAAATCAACTACTAGAAGCTCCAAATCCACCCACAAACTATTGCCTTCGTTTTGAGAAGAAATCAGAAAAATAAAAAATTTATTGATCTTTGGATAAATTACAAAAGAGTGATTTTTGGGGGGGTTTTATCACCCTAAAGGCCAAGGATTTTCTATTGGGGGTTTAGAATACCCCCTTAAACCCTTTTCCCCCTATTTAAGTGGGAAAAAATTACATTTTTTATCCTCATCGAGCGTTTTTTTTTTCTGCCCACCCACAAGTTGTCACTTGGCGACGCCTAGGTGGGCGTCTAGACAATAGCGGCTAGGCGGGCGCCTAGAACTAGGGCGCATAATGATCCCGCCAGGACTGCGCCTAAGCGTTCTCAAAATTTTTTCGCCTAGGCGGTTGGGCGGCCGAATTTTCTAATATTGACAAGGACATTCACAATTCATGGGTGCTACAATTAACTAAGTAGTTGTAGTCAACAATTAAGTGTTTGTGTTCATCTTTAGCCTGAATTGAGCTTGTCACCGATAATAAAATCACTAAGGCCTGCAGAAATGATTATGGGGAAAGTCAATAGTATGGAGACCTACAATGGAAATTTCATGATGGGGAACATTTTGGAGGGCATATATTTATTGTATAATAGTAGAACTAGATAAAAACACAATACTACAATAGTAGAAATAGTTGAATCCAAATCACCAACCATTGTTGAGACAGAAAGCTAAGGCCATAAAAATCCAATATTAATAACGTCCCTACTTCATATTCAAAAATAAATAAAAATACGGTTCCTACTGCAATCATGGACTCACTACAAGCACGTACATAAATAATGTTAAGCATCAGACAAAAAGAATGCTCACAATTTCTATTACCAGTAAGATGTTGCTGAATATTACCAATTCAAGTAATTTCCTTCTATCAATATCCACCTGAATAAATTTTAAGGTCTTAAATCAAAGATTGAGCCCTTCCAATACTACATTTCTGACTTGGATCATTTTTGGAAACATCAAGCATTTATAAGCTACACAACATTCACCAAATGCTGCTTCACAAATGATATGTCCAAAAATGGATTGTGGCTTGTTCATTTTACAATGGCGATGACAGCCAAATTTAAGCATCTGCATGTCTCTCATAACTGGCATGTATCGACCATAGAGAGAACAAGGTTAGTTTAGAGTTCAAACCTAAATGAGCAGATATGACACCTAAGAATACAAATTGAACTACAAATAGATATACTAGTCTGCTAATGTAGGACCTAAGCCATGCCTAGTGTTTAGATCATCAATGCAACAAGAAAATCGTCCAAGGTACATTGATATAAATGCACAGCTTCTGAACATGCAACAGTGTTTTTCATGATGAACTGAAAAAACTCAATCATACATTGCACTGCACCCTCTCTATTGAAGTGCCTAATGCAAAAGCTCCTAGTAACCTCACATCTTGCATGCTTCTAAACCAACAACTATACATCCATCACCTTCCAACATTTCTCATACAACTCCTGGAGAACTTGATCAATCATTGGGTTTCCCAAGTAAGACTCATACTAGTTCTATTTGTCGGTACTTTGGTTCAACGGCTCAACCATATGGCAACCAATCGCTCCTTGCAATCTTCAGTTAAGCCATGAAAATGCTGCACCCAATATAAAAGTTGTTGTTGGACATACTTCAAATGTAGGCTCCGTCACTATCTTATAAAAGAGCCCTAAATTGTTTGCCTATCATATGTTATCCTTCTCGGAAACCTAGTTATGACTTCTTTGAAGGTCAACTAAATGAAACATTTAAGCTTTTTTTTTGTAATCATTTTTTTGTAGTAATTTGTTTAATCCTCAATGAAATACTTATGTTGCTATTCCTAAAAGATCGTTGCCTTGTCTGGGGCAATCTAAATAAGGAAGCTTAATAAGACAGATCAAACAAGAATTACCGAAGTATGAAATCAACCCCCAAACTTCAAGGATCTATTATTATCGTAGTCATCTTCCATTCATCCGAATGTCATCAGGATCGGACAGGTTTGACAGAACAGAAACAATAGCCAGCTTTCTCTGAACTAATTGCAATGTTTCATATGATAAAATCCAACTATTTCAACTGGTCCAGCCAGTTTGAAAGCTGATTCTAACCAATCTAGCCACCTTTGTCCATCCAACTGCTCTTGAACAGTTCAAGGGTCATCTAGACAAAAAATTGGCTGGATTGAAGTGACTGGGCCCAGTATGTTCCTTACAATATCAGTTTTTTTCTTCTCAAAGAAGAATTCTACCAAATTTATAGAAACACCTTAGACTAGGTATCTTAAAATAAGAAACCAAACATATTTTAACATCTATAAAAGCTCGTGAAGACTAACCTCCAGTCTAGAGCTTCAAAAAGAGTGTTAACAGGCTAATTTCTAGTGTTTTTAACCACTAGTTACATTTCAACATGATATAACGCAGTTTTCTCTCATTGGCCCTCAGGACAGCCATAGCACATATACACATTTGAAGCATTGAAATTCATCCATGAACATGTACAAGAAGGTTTCGTCTTTCTAAGAATCCATCATGCTGCAAATCAGCATCCAATTACATGGCATTGGCAAAAGTGATCTTTGCATTTAGCGGAAGGATTTGTAAAAGGTTACACATGGAGATGGCACATGGATCAAGACATTCATGAGACCAAACAATTATCGGGATTCATTGATAGAATTTGATGTTGAGTTTTACATGAGACAGCGGCTGATGTCAAAGTAGTTTAGATGGTAGTAGTTCTGATGCAAAATGGCGTTTAGTCAGGTATAAACTTGGTAGGTTCATCATGACCATAAAAACAAGCTTAAGGAATTTAGCCTGAAAAATAACAAGTGATAGTTTTAATCATGTGAAACATGTGATACGAGACGCCATGTAAATTCAAGAAAGAAGACCAAACTTAAGGAGCTTATAATTTGCACAGTTCTGATTTCATAGTTTATGTTTAATGTCCTAATGTTTGTCAGAATCTATTAAAAATTAGATAAGTTACCTAAGATTATTCAATAGGAAAGAAAATGAAAGTGTCGTACAGAATAAGGAGTGTTGTATTGCTGCCCCAGTGCATCTCCTCCAGAAACCAATTGAACTCCAGGAGTGGCATGAATAAATGCAGGATTTCCGGGCCCATCTTGCCATGATGCCGGATTGACTGATATGAATCCAATCACGAAATCAAAATGCTCTGTAGCAATTTTCACTGCTGCTGATGTGTAGTCTCCCTTGGCAAGGTTTCCAGCTGAACTCATTTCTGCAAGTAAAAGCAAGCCCCTACCAGCAGGCAAACCCTGAACGAACAAAGTAGATGTCAATAACAGGTCCAGAAGCAACACACAAAGTATTTATTGCATGAATAGAATGCTTTAGTATAAATTACAAACCTTCAATTTCAAGCCATCCACGATGCCAGGGCCAGGGATGACATGGGCATTGACAATATCAGCCCAATCCAGTATGCGAAAGATCCCCCTGTAACAAGCAGTCAAAACATTGAAGTGGTCATGAAGGAAAGGATAACATATATACTGGAACCAAAGGTCCTGGAAACGGAAGCTAAATCTCACCCTGCATACTGCATGGTCACTGTATTTCCAATATCAGCAAATTTGCGATCTTCAAAAATTAAGAAATTGTGTTTTTCTGCAATCTTCATTAGAAAAATGTCTATTAGAATAGGAAAATTGTTTTATGCAGCGGGGACTGCATTTTTACAATAGCGGTCCCCAAGGTATAAAGCATACATCTTAGAGATGGATGAAAATAGGTGGTCCACCTAAAAACAACTGAAATGAACAGTCCAAATGTTTTCTTAATAGAATTATTATTTGTAATTTTCAAAATTTATTTATTTTTTCATATTCATAATCTCTATGTTAGAGATTACATGTCCTTAAAAATTAAGTCCAAAAATCCATCTCAAAAAAGAGATTTTTAAGAGGTGACTCATTTCTACATTGACTCATAGAACCCATGTCCATTAGATTATCAAACACATCATCAAGAAACATAACTGAAAGAGGAAAACCCAAATAGTCCTAATAAATGTCATCTCACAAGGATCCAATTACTTCACTCAACATGGGCTCAATATAAATCAAAGTTGTTGAAAAATCTCAAGGCAAAATTATGAATACAATCATGCAATACAACAATATGAATAAAAGATTCAAGACATGAGCATATGCACTTTGCGGAAAGTGTTTACAATAGTAACAACCTGACAGATCAAATGTCAGTTTTATAGTGCATTCTTAAATATTCAGAAAATGAATTGCATGATAATGCGAAAGACTACCCCAACTTGTACTATTCCATCACTGTTCCTGAAAACAAATCCAATTAAAGGTAAAGTATGAGCTTTAATAATAAAGCTAGTAGAGACTAGGGTAGTATTGAAGGTCGCAACATAGAACTTCAATTTGAGACCGACGGAGGATATTATTCTCTCAATGCTAATGAAGGAGGCTCATTAATTTTATTATTGAAAAAAGGCCGCACTAGACAACTTCTCATAAGAGAGAGTTGGTCAATGTGAACTCCTAACTCCTAAATCAAAAGCTCACAAAGCCATAGGGCCATGCCCATATCGGAAGAAAGAAAGCAGAATACCGAGCGAAGCTGAGAACCAAATTCTGGTGTGAAATCAGGAAATATGTCCACATGCGTTTTTAATAAGCAAATCTCCGGTCCAACCTGCAAGCACCCATATATTGCTTAACGTTCATCGACAAAAACCCAGAGAACCCATACATCATACTCACTAAACACTAGTAAAAAATCATTCGGAAATCTCCTAGGACCAAAAATTGAGAAAATTTGATGAATCAAAGAGAAGTATTGCATATTGTGTTACTAACTAAAAAATATATATATAAATAAATAGCAAAAATTTCTAAAATTTATAAATAGATGGTATCTGAGAACAATATGGGTTGCTCACAAATCACAATGCATGAAGCCATACCAAAAGCAATATTAAAAATGAGAGAGAACTTTCATGGGCAATGAACCCAAAAAAAGATCCAAACCATCAGAGTGATTTATAAATGAGGGAAAAGGGTAGAACAAGGATGCATATCTGGATGAATACATGTAAATATATATATATATATATATATATATATATATATATATAGGTCAGTAGGGATCTGGGTCCCTATCCTTTGGTGAGAATGGAGTCAAAGATTTTATCATAGGGTGGTGAGAATGGAGTCAAAGACTTCATTATAGGGTTCGCTGGTACTACCACTAAGACCCCAGCCCATTCTCGGATGAATACATGTAATGTGATGTAGATATCCAAAGATCACCTTGAGGGAAGAAGGAAAATTTCAACAGCAAAAACAAAAAGGTTTCGACTTCTGCTACTTTAAAGCGACCATCCATAGTTATCTTTTCCATTTTCATGAGCAGAAGTTGATATCAGCATTGTTCTCATCGCAATGAAGAATATCATCATTTGCAACAGATGAAAATACCAATACTTGAACATGATGCGGTGAAGATGCAATGAAACCCAGAGTAAACAAAACCAAAAATAATCTACCCAATGAACAAACAAAAGTGCGGGTTAATGTTAACAGAAAATAAGGAAAAGAAAGAAGGAAATGTAACTTTCCACTAACGCTCATGCCTCGTATAAGTTTAGAATTAGGAAGGAAATGTAAATTCCTAAAAGTTCACAAGCCAAAAAAACAAAAAAAAACCTTCTGACTTATCAACAAGGAACACAAGTTCAAACCAATGAAAGAATGAAAATACAAAACAAATATTCAGAGAGAGAGACCTTATCAGCAAGACTCAGCAATTCAGCAGCAGTGAAGACGTCAGCCGCTAAGCACAAATTACTCTTCTTCGTATCCATTATCTCAAACAACTGCTTACCAGTTGGGTTCTTCACCAATCTCGACCGCTCCCCGTAAGGAATCCTCTTAACCTTCACTTTCTCTGCAACTTTCGCAATACCAACAGCTTGATTCTCCTCCAAAAACTTCCTCACATTCTCTGCAACTTCTTCTGAGACCTTCCCATGCCTAACCAATACACCCAACATATCTGAAAGCTTAATCAAAGAATGAAGCTTGATATCATTTTTCTCCAAATTCTCTCTACCCCCTTGTTCTCTATCAATCAAAACAATGGCATCGCTGACAACCAGACCAGCTGATCGTAATGGGGCTGCTGTTTCAAGAACAGAAGCTCCACTGGTTACAAGATCTTCAATGATCAAACAAGTTTGGCCATGCTTAAACACCCCTTCGATGGCTTTCGAGGTACCATAGTCTTTGATTTCTTTTCGGCGCATAAGCATGGGTACATTGTTAGTTGCAGAGATACAAGTGGCTATTGGAAGAGCAGTGTATGGAACACCGCAGACAAGATCAAAGGAGAGAGAGGAGACTGAGTTGAAAATGGAGGTGGAGATTAGTTTAAGGAGGCGAGGAAATGAGACGATAAGACGAAGGTCAATGTATATGGGAGAGAAGATGCCACTCTTGAGCTTGAAGTTACCAAATTTCACTGCTTCGATCTCATGGAGCTCGAGAATGACGTCTTCCATGGTTTTCGACGTTCTTGCCTCTGTTATTGGGTTTTCGAATCTGTTACTTGATGACAGAGAAAGGGACTAAGCTATAGAGAGAAAATGAAGATAAATAGAGTGCAATTTCCAGTTTTAATTTGCTAAGGCTTGCATTTTCATAATACAATTTTAATCAGGTCAAAAAATCGTATCTTTTTTTACCTATATTTTTTTTTCCTGTTTTGTGTATTGCAGCCATTGCTACTTTCATGCTTTTGAAAAAAAAAATATTAATTAAAAAAAAAACCTAAAATATAAATTTGTATCCCCACTGTGTTCTTCAAAGCCACAATTGCAAGGTATAATTTTTTTTTTTCCTTTTTTTAAAAAACTTAAACAAATAGATTCAGATTTCACTTGTTATTATAGGAAATCATTGTGCAAATGAAATACTGTTTATAGCAAATCATTTTGTAAAGTAAATCATTGTGTAAAGAAAATCGTACACATGCAGATTTCTGTGATTATTTGTGATAATTGTTTGTATGAGAATACTGTTTATGGCACAAATTAGAGCTCAAAGCATAGTCTTTTACTGATGAATGAGAAGCATAGAGTGTGACAACAGGACCAAGTAATCAATATTTTGTTTTGGATTATGTTATAACAAAGATAAACAATATAATGTAACCTGTAAACTTACAGGAGCACCCCAAACCTAATCCTTCAGCTCTGCTTGCTGTTTCCCCAAGAAAATGAAAAACCCTCTTCCTTTTCTCTCTATAAAAATTTCACAAATCAGTACAGTTAGGGCTTCCTCTCAAACAACATCCCAAATCAGAGAGGAAATCCCTCTTCAAACTAATCAAAATCAGCATCCCATCTTCCTTTATCAAGGCCTCTTTGTAAAGCCGATGACCTCTTCTTTCTTCTCTCTATAAACCCGGCTATAAGCCCAGCGCTATTTTTATTCTCTTCTTCCTCTCTCTAAACCCAAATCACATGGACGTGAAACGCAAATTTAAAACAAAAATGGTGTATTTCTTTGGGTGCGATGTTTAAATATTTAAGGAAGAGTAATGATCTTATTGGACCCTCCCCCACTCATTAAATTTTGTACGGATCATTTGATTTTTTTTAATATCAAATTTTAAATTTAATAGTAATTTTTTGAGATATTAGGCAAATAAAAATAAAAAAGAGGCCCTATAAGATCATTTTTGAATAAATTTATATAATATATTTGTTACCGTACTATACTTTAAGTATTTAATAAATAAATTTAATATGTAATAAGTATATTTATATATATTTTTTAGTATATATTAATTAATTATGTATTTAATATTGAATCATTTTCATCAGCATCTGAATTAATTGATTTAATTATAATAATCTAATAAAGTTTTTATAGATGAATTAATTATTGATGGTTTTGACATAATTTATATTTTTAAAAATTTCAAAATTTCTACTATTGTAAATTTATCTAATTTTTTTATTCCGATTTTTTGAGACTAATCTAATATATTAATAATAACTTTATATGAAATATTTTTGTCTATTAAATTTTCAAAAATAAAAATAAATTTTTTTTTTATTGTATGGTGAACCGATCTGTTAATAATCCCCGACTTGCATACTATGGTAAAAAGGAAGATGTAATGGGTTTACGAGCTCTTAAGGATTCTCAGGGTTTCTTCTTCTCTGCAGCATAAAAATCTCAAGAAACAGAGCAACAGAATAAAGGTGGGAAGCTCCGAGAGAAGAAAAATGCAGTATTTTGGGGATTTCATAACTCTAGAGAAATTAGGGTTCTCGATTAAGGGTGATCAATTTCTAGGGTTCTGGAGCTTTAGGCCATCATCTAAGGTTTCCTTTTGTCATCAGGAGGGAGGAGAGAAACTAGCCGTAAAATCCTCCAAAGAAGATCGCAGAAGAGAATCGATGAACCGAATTCCATTGGACGGTTTAGATCGTGACGTACGACCACGCATAGGGAACTCCACCTTTGAGAATCTTTCGGCGGTGCTCAGCCTTAAATTCGGCGAAATCTACCGAGATACGTTGGGATTTTAAAACTTTCGCAGATTTGAAGAATGCCGCTAGGCAGTTGCGCGACATACTTTCTAAATTGCGCCCAAAGTTTCCCAAATTTACGGGAATTTTCGGATTTCTCTGCTATTTGGCCTTAAAATACAAAAAAACATTGTTTTTTATTTATTTCCTTTGTTATTATAGGGTCGTCCAAGTGTTTTATAATGGAAAATGGTTTTAAAGTCTCACCTCACGATTCATTGAAAATTACAATTCAAGCATTAAAAATTCTTTTCATTAATTATTTTTATTTGAACATTATGGTTGTAAAAAGAAAGTTAAGATTTAAAGCTCAAAAAATAGTGCATACTGTAAAAAATTATTTAGACCGTTTATTTCACCCTATGTATAAAATATGCTACTGCTATAATTTATATTTGGGATTGTATACAATGACCTTTGGTACATGGAAGTCACAATTATTTATAACCATCAAATGTGAAATCTAATAGCGTGGGTGTCTCAAAATTTGAAAAAAATTCTTTTGAACTTTGAGCTTTGTCGATTAAATAAATGCAGCCACTCAATTTCACATTCAATGGTCATGATTAATTGTGACCACTTTGCATCAAAGGTAAACGGTATCATGATTTACTTTCCTTTTATATTTGGATTGTATACAATGAAGCCATTTACCTTTGATACATGCATTGTTTGAAAATCTGCCTCAGCTAACTGGTAATCGCTCGGTTAGATTGGAACCAGCCCTTTGATGGTTATGGTTTCGAGTGGTTTTGGTGAAAAGCCAGTATTTTAAAAATAAAAATTCACAAAAATGTATATAAAATCTTAAAAATAAGGATTTTGTTTTGTAATACATTTTTTAAAATATTTTTTACATTATGGTAAATATTAAAAATTGTTTTGGTCATTAATACTCACTTTCAAAATCCCTTTTCATTAATTTTCAACTTCATTTGAATCTGTTTTGTTTTAATCATTATTTATATGTTTTTTATTAATTTAGTTTTTTATTTTTTCAATCATTTTTTGGCCACTTGTGACTTGCCTGGTTAGAACGGTTGTATAGCGCTACACCGGGTAAGAACAAACAAAAAATGAGCTATCAAGAAGAAAGAAGGGGGTCGGGCTCCCTGTTCTTCCGGGGCATCATATAGTGGAGTCCAATGATTGTGTACGAACAAAATACAAGTCCAAAGGCAATGTCAGAAAGGGTTTAGCGAATGGAGATATTGACTCTTCTGGAACCAGTAGCGCGTAAACCATGTCAAACCAAGACCGATCAATATCCAAACGGAATGTATTCAAACTTCTCCTAGAAGAGTTTCTGGTGCGAAATTCAATTCATAGGATATGGATGAGTAATTCTTAGGATATTCTGCCGCTCGTCCAACGCGGCTGGCTTACCGGTTAGGGTGGTTAACTGTTCCAATTCGATTTTGTGTACATTGTATGGATGCGTATCAAAATTAGAGAAAAATTCATTTGAACTTTGAGCTTGGTCGATGAAATAAATGCAGTCACCAATTTTACATCCAATGGTCATGATTAATTGTGATCGCTTTGTATCAAAAGTAAATGGTCTCATAATATACTTTCCCTTTATATTGGGATTATATTGGGATTATTATATATTTTCCCTTATAACGTATTTTTGGAATGTTAATTTTCAAAATTTTATAGTTATGTCAATCTACACTATTTTTAAAGCTTTAAACTTTATAAATAAAGATAAAAATATAATATAAATCTATCACAAAGATTTCTAGTATTAAAACCATATTTCGCAATACTATTTGAAAGTAGGCTCTAATTTAATTGTTTAGAGCCAAGGCTCTATATACACCCCACCCAAAATATAAAAAAAACCGACCTTTCCGTGATGTCATTTCCTCATATCCAGGACTCATTTTTTTTTCATTTCCACGGCGACACGCCGCGAAATGTCCATCGGATCATTCGTTAACCTAATTTTATAACATCAAGACACAAACTCCCTCCCTCAGCTCGGTCTCTAACCAGACCATGCCCCCCGTCGCACTCTCTCTAACCCGACCACGGGCCCTGCTGTCTCTCTCTAAGCCCTCTGTCTCTCATACCACAAACTCTCTCTCTCTCTAAGCCCACTCTTTCAGGACCGAAATCTCTTCCCCCTCCCATTCTCTCTCTAAACCTCCCTCGCTTCCTCTCTCAATTTGTCTCTCTCTCTAAGCCCAGTCTCTCTCATTCTTAGATCACTCTCTCTCTTACCATTCCCCCATTATCTCTTTTTTAATTTTTACCAGGGTTTGCATATTTTTGGGAAATGTAGACACAACATTGGCTTGTTCAATCTCTCTGCAAGCCCACAAGTAAGTTTGCAATTGGGGATTTTTTTGTAGATTATTATATAAACCTATTAATGGGTACTTGGCTACTGAAATTTGGTGATTTATCTCTTTATCCCTATTTTTGAAGCAATTTCCTCAAACCATTAATGTCTGGACCCAAAAAAAATGTATTGCAAAATGTGGTTGGTTGAGTATTGCTTATTTATCAAACAGTATCATGTTATATTTCAAAGTAAGAGCTTTATGCGCATCTTTCATTAAAATGGGGATTTGTAGCTTTTGGGTACTGCTAAGAAAGTCATGGAATGCTTTCCTCAAAAACAAAAGGCAGTAATAGAATGCTGCTAGGTTCCAAATTCTGAAATATTTGGGTGTCGTTATTATTATTATTATTATTTTTATACAGTCTTTTATGTAGTTTATGGAATAAACTCATTAGCAGTCAAATAGATGCGGTAGATGCCCAATTAGGTTTTTTAGATTCAATTCATGGTGTTTGAATTGTTGAGTAATCATTCCTTTATTCTTAAGAACTGTGAAACTATGCTCTCGGCTCAACAAGGGCATGCAGTATATAATGCCCTAACCATTTTTTGTCTGGAAATGGTCTTGACCTTTTTCTTTTCTTTTTTTTGGTTATTCATAGTTAAATGTGAAATTTAGCAGTAATGGATTTCATCTCTTGCTTTTGACTTAAGAATTGGAAGTTTTTATGTTCAATTTGCTTCAAGTTCATGAAGATTTAGCTCCATATGTCAATTTTCCATGGCTTATTTTGTACCCTGTTGTATCAGTCCCAACTCCATGCCATTTGTCCTCATTTACATCATCTTTTGATTGTGTTTTCTTGACATTTTGATTGATTCTTGTTTGAGTTAGATCATAAGGTCATATTGCTCAAAGTTCATGGATGATTTGGTTCAATATCTTAAGCATATGTTGCTGTTTTTGTTTCCTGCAAAATTAGCAGCATGATGAAATGAATTGACCTTGGTTTGAACATCAATTTGCTCAAATTACATCATACAATGTGTGATCAAAGTCTGCAATTGAATGCTTCTTTATTTGGAGCTGATCTTGTTACACCTAACTGATCAATCTCAAGAAAGCTGCTACTACAGTTACTGATCACATCCATAAGCTCAATCACCAACCACTAATTTGTTGTTATAATGACTTAAAACACCTTTATTACTTCCATTCAAATATGGAGTTCATGTGACAAATGTTGAGTGCTGAAATTGTACATTGACTATTGAAGTTGCATATATTTACTACTGAAATTGCATCAATTGTTGAGTGCTGATGAAAATGTACATCATTTAGGGTGCAAGTGATTGAATTGCGTAACTTGTGAACATGGTTCAACATCTGCAGATTGTGTGCATCTTATTGTAATTTTGTGTTATTTTGATTTTTGGATGTGGGTTATTGCATCAATAGTTTTTATGGGCAGTTATCATTGTATGACTGAAAATGTCATTCCTAAGAAAATGTTTTGCATAAAAATGTCACAAGCTCCTATCCATTTCTCTATCTGGGTCTCAAACCCCCTTATATGTAATTGAAAGATACATCAGGTTCTTGTTTGTGAGAGAGAGAGAGAGAGAGAGAGCATCTCCAAGAGCTTTCACGGTTTTCTTAGTACCTTCCCCCCCACCCATGAGCAAAACAGCAAGCAAAGCCATGTCCATCTCCATCTCCTCTCTCAACTCTTCCTAGGGAGATGTATGAAACCCTTGATATGGCTTAGGTGAGTTTTGCAGGACATCTCTTGAGCCACTAGCCTCTGATGTTGTATGAAACTTGTTGCCCAGGTGAGTTTATTAAGACAACTCTTGAGCCACTGAGCTCCTTAATGGTTGGCACTAAAAAGCTTATGAGTTGCATAAGATGATGTTATCTTAAAAAGTGGAAAATTTATTGTCTAGAAATTATTCCGTTTTATTATTACTATTATGGCTTAAAAAAAAAAAACAGTTTTATTGCTATTCATGGCTTACTACAGTGAAATTCCTAGTGTTCTTGCTATTACTTATCTATGTCTAAGCTTCAATAGTTGAAAACGCCTCTAATGTTTTCCCTTCCTACACTTACTCCTATTTATTTCTTACAACAGTGAAGTTCCTTGCATTCTTATTTACCTGTCCATATTTAGCACATGAAAGAGAGGCAATGCAACAGAGTTTATTATCAAATTGACTAACATCTTGAAAGCCACTAATAAAGGTGTTTTAAGTCAAATATATTGGTGACAACAGTACTTGATAGAAGACGCACCCATGAACTCAAGCAAAAATTGAAGCCTTTATTGAATATTGAAGAATTGTTTGTCTTTATTGGCTTTGCATGTTTATATAGAATTGGGTCTAAACATGAGTGTAAAAAGACTGTTTTGCCCCTGCTTAACAATATGTAGAATTTCAGAACAGTCCCTGCTGTTGCTCGAAAACTTGTGTGATCTTCCATGATTAATCTGGGGTTGTTTTGATACCCGTTTGATCAAAAGATGATTGTTTTTTTGCAGGGCTTGGAATGACGATCGATTTTATACCAATTTTGAGCCATGATCATGAGACTTGAAGTTTGGATGAATCTTGAAAACTTCGGATCGATAGTGCGCTCGTTCCATTATGTTTTTCTTTTGTTTCTTCATTGAATCGCACTGAGTATGCCATTACGATCATGTTGCAACAAACGTAGCTCGATTTTGTGTCTAGATGAAGATTTTGTTGTCTTGAGTTTTTTGTCAGAATCTTGAAATTCCGTAGCCAAAATTTATAGCGGCTTTGACACCTCCGTGTGTGAAATCCAACCGTTCATCATAATTGATGATCGGACAAGAGATAGCTTCGGACCTTACGCACATAATGCAATTGGTTTCGCGTCGATCGGGTATGCGAGCATTGTGATTTGGCCGTCAGAGTGAGGTATGCTGCTGTTGAATTTTTTGCAACTTTCTTTACGGATTAACAACTTCTATTTAGTTTTTTTCCTTTCTCGGGCATTGTCACGGGGCGTACCACATATCAAAACACTCGTCTTGGCGAGATAAATATGCTCATAAAATTTGAGCGCTATTCGACTCGAAACGAGTGAGATGTGGGCCTCGAAAGCCACTACTTGTGAATGTGAAAACAACCACCTTTAATGGTGTTTTGGTGTAGGGTGGGCACATGGAAATAGTGTGCGGCTTACCCCTTTTCGATATTTTACCTATAACTTTGCCCAAGAGTGCTCGATTAAGTCGAAACTTAACCCATAAGAGTTTTTGGCCATGGCGGATCCAATGTCGATGGTCCCACAGCAATTGGAAGCACCAAAAATATAGTTCTAGTTACAAGGTCTATTTCAGGGTGCTAAAGGTCGAGTTTTTTGAAATTGTTTCTTTGTGTTCACTAGCTTAAACATGTTTGATTTCAATGAAACTTGGCTGGTGGCCTTTTGAAGTGCTTATAAAGATCTCGACTAGTTCTAGGATCATTCTGAGACTGTTGATATTTCTACTGTTTTGTCAGGCTTTATTGACCTGCTTCCTCTTTATATCGCATCAGGGACCAAGGTGCTGAAAAGTGCAAACTTACCCTTTTTAGATAAGTTGGCCACAAAATGGTCCAGCAGTGTCTGAATGAGCTGAAATGTGATATCTGGGGGCTTTAGGACCTTTTGAATCCAATGGAAGTGGGCTGGTGTTTATCTAAAGCTCCAGTGATATGGATGTAGTTATAAGGTGCCTTTTCATCACGATAGAGGTCGAATCTGAAAACTGATTTTATCTCTGATCCACCTTAACATCGTCGGATCATGACGAAACTTAGTGGGTGTTCTTAAAGAGTCAAGTGCTACCTCGGAATGATTTTTGGGACCCATCTATTGCCTTTCAAAAATTCACTCCAGATCATAGTTTATTTCAACAGTGCTTCTGTTGTCCGTAGGCATTTTGGTACCCACGGGCCTAGGTCGCGATTGGCTTCCTCCTTATTGGCATTGGCGACGCAAGTTTCAAAAAATACCCTAAAACACCGACGACTTTCCCGATTTAGAAAGTGGTAATCTGGCGCCTAAATCAAGAGATTTTTATCACAAAATGATCGTGAAGGCATCCCCGTCAATGTATGATGAAGGAATCGACCCGAAACATCAAAAAACAATCAAGATCTAGCATTGAAGATCTCAAGTTTATGATCTTTCGTCGGATTTTCAAAGTGGGTCCAACCCTGATTCAATATCAAAGTCATATGTCAAAATGATCGTCTCATCTAACCTGTTATTTCTATGTTGTTATTTTCATCGAAAGATCGTTGGAAGCATCCAAAAATGGCCCCGAACCATGGCTATGGCTTATCGATCCTTTTTGGGGGCCATTTGGCCATTTTCATGATTACGGCTAGGGACAAAAAATGGGATTCACTTTTTAATTAAAAAAAATGTAATATTTGACAATTTCATTTTCTTTTAATCATCCACCCTTGTTTCAAGAGGTTGATATATAAGTTATTTAAGCCATTATAACCTAAGGTTGGAGAGATCAATAAAAAATTATTGACCTTACCCCCTTGAGCTTGATTTTTGGTTCTATCTTTTTTGCCCCAAAGAGAGGTGAGAGAAAAATTTTACCCATTTGGAATTACCCCTAGAACCCCACACTTCCAACATAGAATCCCTCACTCTCAACATCCATAGTTCTCACTTCCATATACTCTAGCCCATTCCATAGTCCTCACTTCCATACACCCTATTACCTTCTATAGTCCTCACTTTTATAAACCCTAACCCTTCCATAGTCCTCACTTTCATACACCCGAACCCCTTCCATAGTCCTCACTTCCATAGATCCTAACCCCTTCCATAGTCCTCACTTTCATACACCCTAGTCCCATCATAGTCCTCACTTCCATACACCCTAGCCCATTCCCTAGTCCAGAAACCCTAATCCTATCCCTAATCTTCTACACTAAGACCACAACCCATCTCAAGGTGTACCACAAGAAGGTTAGGACCAACCTAGTACTTGGGTTTGAGTCTGTGACTCATACTAAGTACCCAACTCTTCTCTCTCTCTCTCTCTTATCTCTCTCTTTGTCCCTCTTATCCCACTCTATTTGTCTATCTTCCTCCTCTCTTCTCCCTCTCTCTCTCTCACTCCTCGCCCTCTCCTTATCTGACTGGTAGCCAAGCCGTCAGTTCCCGTCTCTCTCTTCCTCTCTCTTTCTCTCTTCTTTCTCTCTTCTCCCTCTCGCTCCCCCTCGGTCTCCTATCTTCCTCTCTCTGTATCTCTCCTCGCCTTCTCCATCTCAGGCCATCGGTCTCCTTCTCTCTCTCTCCCTTGGTCTCCTCTCTCCCTCTCTCTCTTTATCCTCGCCCTCTCTCTCGAACTGGGCCAAGTTACCGATCCCCTTCTTTATCTCTCCCATTCTCTCTCTTTGCCCTCTCCCTCTCAAACTAGTGGCCAAGCCGTCGGTCCCCTTCCCTCTCTCTCTTTCTCCCTCTCCCTCTCTCTTGTCTCCCTCTCCCTCTCTAACCGATGAC